CGTTCGGGGTGCAGGGCGGTAAGATTCCAGCAAAGAGGGGATAGAGAAGTGTGTGAGAAGAAAAAAGAAGAAAATATTACGAAAGAAATGGATACGGACGTGCTGAGGTCGAAAGGGGCAGAGGAATAGGAGGAAAGATGGAAAATGAGCTGGCAAAAAGAGATCTGGATGCACAAATTAAACAACAGAGGGTGAAGATAGAAATCGCACGAGAAAATAAGGGAGTAGTTACCAAAATATTGGTGGGAAGGAAAAAAGATTATTAAAACAATAGCGAGATTCAGATGCGGAAGCGAAAAGAGAGGGAAAGAGAAGAAGAAAGAAAATGTAGAAGATACGGAAAGGAAGAAAAGGAGATGATGTTGGATGAGGGGGAGGATTTTAAAGAAAAGAAAGAAACAAATACATTATTGTTTTATTTTTTATAAAAAAATTTTCTAAGTTTTATATTTATCTTTCTGAAAGATTCTCTTGAAAGTTTATGTAGAATTTCGGAGGACTCTAACAAATGGTCAGCAGTGTATAGCGAAGATGAAAATAAATTTTAGTTTTTAGAAAGAGTCCTCCTCAAAATTTGCGCGCGGACACTCGTTTAGAAGGAAAACGCGTAGAGCTATTTTTCCAAAATGGCGGAAAAAAATAGAAAACAGAAATTGATTGCTAATTGACTACATTTTTTTATTCATGTTCCCAGTATAAAATTTCGAATTGGCTCGCTCTATTAATCACAGTACACAGCAAAAGTGTCCGACATCACTTTCGCTATATGTTCTGTTGATGGTCTGAGCTCTGAATGTCAAAAAAATAAATTGCGGGAGTAAATTAATTTATTGATCGCACGTTTCATACAGGGAAGCGTGCGCTTTTGTAGGAACAATTGACAAAGGTAGAAGAGAATGAGCACTCTATACTACTTACGTTTTATAATAAATAGCCAAGCAGCGAATGACAAATGTATACGAAAGAAGTTGCGAATGAAGCGATATAAGTACTATCACTTAGGAAATGGGAATACTTTTTGTTGTTAAGGTAATTTTATTGCATAATATATTTTAGAGTGGAACAGAAAGTTTTCCTTCATGTGAATTAATGGTAAGTCACTATTAGAAGAGTGCCGGTAGAAAAAATTTCGAATGCCGAATATTCGTAGAGTAATGGACTCAAAAACGCAGGAAGCTTCTGTTATGTTTTATTGCGCTACATTCAATAAAATAATAAAACATATTTATTACTCACCTATATCCTTTAGAACCACCTTTTTATGTTATGTAAAGGCATTTGGGGATATGTGGGAATGGATGTCGCTTTCACTCAGACAATATTATTATTTTATTGAGTCGTAGACTGCCTTGCTATCGAAGAGTATATAAACTGAATTCCGAACATTAAACCACAAATTTCAAAATGCTGACGTTCAATAAGTTGGTTATAAGCCATTCATTTGTAGTTATAACCTCCAAGGAGGAAACTTTGTGACAATTCCCCACTTGGAGCATCATCTGTAAGTAATCTCATTGCTCAAGACACCCACGCAAAACATAAAGCCAAATGGAACTCGATATTAGACTGTGGGCGTACAACACAGGCTTGACGTCGTTATACAGGATTTTTACGTACCTTCGTTTACGTGTAATGGATACTGTAAACTGCACATGCATCGTATAGGTATCTACTCTAAGTAATTTGACCCTCAATGATGCCGAACTTCCGCATGTTTCCACATTTTCCAGATGTAAATCTCTTTAATTCCAAAAGTTTCCTTCTTACTGCGGCGGGTGGAACAATGCATTTTTAGCTCCACACTATGTGTCGTATCTAGTTGAAGAAAAACCGAGCACCGTTTTTTACAAACCTTTTAATTTACATGTATGCCAGAGTGGTTTTCATCTACTTGTGATTTTCGGAAATGATCCCCCTCCCAACATAAAACTTTCCCTGAGAACACCGTACGATGTTTTCACATATTTATACCGGTAAGATTATAGTACACCTAAATTGATGCAATTTATATTTATCTCTTTTTTTTTCTTCTTTTCTTATATTCTATACTTCTTTTATAATGTAATTTTCTTCTTATTCGCCGATCGGAATTCAAATAGCAAGGTTAAGTGTAAGAACAGATGGCATTATTTTACTGCTAATCTGAACTTCGCCTTGTACTAACCTTATCTGTTGCTTATTTTTCTTGTTTTTTTAAATAAAGGCAATATTATTATTATTTTTATTATTATTATGAAAATGCCAAAAAAATGGTGCTCAAATCGTTTTAGAATGTTGGACTCCCGTCTTGCAAATTTTCTTTTGCTGTATCTGTAGCGGTTTAGTGTCAGATTTCAATATAACACTGTTTTCGACGGGAGACTGCTAAAAACACTATTCATCATGTGTCAATTATAATGACACTCGCCAATAGATTTTGCACTGAAACTTAATTATGTACCTACCTAAACGGTTTTTTTGTAGAAATTTGTCCCATTCCCTTGAGATTCGTGAAGTAAATTCGTTTCCCTATTTTCCGTTATTACTTTTACACTGTTCTTTCGTAACCTGAAAAGCGCTGTGATATATTTTGAAAATTCAATAGTTGCCATCATTAAGTAAATTCAGTCATATTAAGTTTAATCAAACGAATAGTTTAAAATTAATTTCGTATTGTCGTATTTTACAAATTTAATTTAGAATTGTATTACATTTCGTGTTAATTTCCACATAATCGTTAACCAAACCTCCCTTTAATAGCGAATGGAACGGTAGATTCAACGTTTTCAAGACAAACACATTTTACGAGTATGCGTAGGCGAAAATGTAATTATTCTGTATAGGCTGTAGTGAGTCTTTTAATTATCGTACATTATCCATGATGTACGTGATATATCCCTTTATTGCAGAATTTTTAACACACCTTGTCGCAATATACTGTCCTGTGAAAATGATTGAATTTTATGTTGGTGCCGGACATTATTGTTACCAGTTGGCTGCATAGTAAATCAACATGTTTGCTATCATTTTGACAGCCAAACTACTCTCGACACCTCTACATAAGAAGTAATATAAGTATAAAATAGTAAAAATATATTTGATTCTGGAAGCACTGAAACTGCTGTGGCCGTTGGAGTTACAATAATATATTAAAAGATCGAACACGTTTCAACAGCAAAGTTCTTCACTGATGATGACATCCTTGCTGTTGAATCGCGTTCGATTTTTTATATATGCGGTTTATTGGTGTTTTTGTTTTACTTTCTCTATATATTGAATTCCTCTCATATTTTTTTGCAATAATGGTACATATGAGGCGACATTTCTATACATTCTAAACTATTAACAAAAAATCGCAAAGTTTATTTCATCGTCTAATTCTGATTCCACAAGAAGCATCGTAAACACGTTGACCTACAGCAGAATTACATTTTGCCATTATTTACTGCATTTTAAAAAAGATAAAGAAGGAACCTGACATTTGAGAGATTATCGACAAAGTAAAAATAATAGTACCTACTAAGAATTTATCGGAGCATTACCAAATTCAAGCCGAAGAAATTAAATTCTGCCATGTTCTTTCCTGCAACCTTCACTTATTATTATTTAAATGTAAAGAACAATCTTTGTTTTTTAAGTGTCAAAATTAAAACCTGTGCTTTAAATTAAAAAAAAGGGTTGCTCGGTCCCATAGCAGGAAATCGAGTGTTAGTCCCAAGATACTGTTTGGAAACCAAACCCACACTTTATAGAACGATTGTAAATAGACCTAAATAACAACCAGAAAGAGGTTTCTTGTACTGCTTTGTAATTCTTTTCGAGTTGTTTCTACTTTATTTATTTAAATGTGGTCTCTAAAAATGAATTTCTGGTTGGGAATTAATTGCAATAAAACAATGAGTGTATTTTATGAACTATGTTGGGCCGAACTTCTACTTATAAGGGTCAAATATGCATAACACGGGATTCCAATCTGATCTGTAGGTATATTTGGCATCGTTATCCTTACCACGATCTAATAATGTTCCGAGATCGTCCATTATACACCATCCCAAGCACGTCCATGGTTTGCCTGATTATGTTTAATAAAATGAAAAACACACCCGCATACTGTTATTGGTACCAGGGTTCAGAGTGAGGCCCCTATGTGTACTCTTATAGATAACGTTAAGTCTTCCCTACTTGATGTACATAGTGGAGTGCCACAAGGCTCCATTTTGGAATGACTATGTTGCCGGGATATTCTTTGATCTTTCACGTGTCTTTGATACACTACAGAGAAAAGCTAGAAAGGCTAGATGTAAGAGGTGTCACACTAGAGTGGTTCATATCGTACCTAACTGATCGAAGTCTGTCAGTCAAAATTGGAAATACCTATTCGGAGAAATACCCTATAAAACTTGGCGACTCATCTATCGCAGTTTCTGCACACAACAAGGATGACCTTCAAAAATCAGTCCATGTAATTACTGAAGCCTTCCAGCAATGGTGCGCCTCCATTATACTAAACTCAAAAAAACTGAATATATGCACTCTGTTTACAGTAACAGCTACATGAATAAATAAATTTATTATTATATATTATTATTATTATTATTGACCCTTTACATATGCATATCGTTCACTTTACTATAGCCTTCAGAATGCATAGGTAAAGATTAGCTCAAAGTTATATACAAAATTGGTAATAGTCAATGGTTATTTTCTTTCTTTCTATGGAGGCATTTACCAGTTTCCCTAAAAAAGAAATCTCTAAAAGCTCCTACAACATTTGCTTAGAAATAAACAAACGATCCTACTAAAGCTCTTCTTAAAACCATTTTACAAATCTCCACAGAAAAACATTATTTGACTCTCAAAAATCGCAAAAATAATGTATTAAGGACGTCATGTTGCCTACTTTCTAATAATATCTGTAAAGCAACAATGAATAAATGAAAATTACTTAAATTAAATACCTCTGGAAAACCTCTTACATACATTAGTAAAAACGATGTAATTAATCTTAGGTATTTTTTCAGCCCCTTACTGAGGACACGGATCGCGGTCAACCCCTTCAGCACCACCACCAGATACAATCTTAGCAAAAGTCCATGTACTTTAAAAAAGATGGGGGTGGAGTTTGACTAGAGACACCCGCGTCCTCCAGCGTACTCTAATGACAGCATATAGCGTCTTTCGGCACGTGCGTCGTGACCAACCAGTCTCACATGTGATGCAGCAAACAGGGCTCAAATGCTCACCCATCTGTAAAGTAAACTGGTGGGAATGTGTTGTTGAAGCAGCTCCTGGTGAAGAAGCTGGTGATCGCGCCTTTGCCTTGAAGACGTTGAGGTGCTCAAGCCCATCTGAGGAGGTTGAACCGCGCTCTTCCAATTAGGAGAGAATAACGACAATAACCAGGATGATAATTAATTTTCACAACTTTCTTACACTCAATCATGTGCACGAAAACCGTAGAGTTCTTAAACCAAGATTCAGGTCAAATATATATTTTTTATGTAAATCTACTCTGCAATGGCATTGAGTTCCACAGTTTTGTTCATTTATGTTATAATACATCACTGTTCACCGTGCGAACACATACATGCATAATGGATCCGTAAAAATTAAAGTCTCGCAGCCTGCTTGCAATAAATCGTTAAATAAAGTATGTATTTCGAGCTTTTATTTCTTAAAAAGGCCGCTTTTCTGTAGTCAATGTTGAAAAGGAATATTTGTGTTCGTAGAAACTGCGTGAAAGCAATCGGCAACGTTTTCAGATACCATGGGAATTTCAGCACATTCGTTTACTCTGACTTTGTTAACTTCAACAATCGCATTACTTCGTTCATTAGTTTGACAAGCTAAAGTAGACACATACGAGCAATAGACATATTTTTCACGAAGACCATCGGCATCCCCAATTTTGTATTATTGAACCACAATCCTGCTTTCTCTTACAATTTCTTACGAACTCATAATTTTCCAAGGGAAATGAGGGAGTAATTTACTGGAAATGCTAAATTTAAAATTAAAAGCGGACTGAATTATACCACAATAACAAATGAATCGTTACTTGTCACAATAAATTTGGAGCGCGACATTTAAGGAAAATAAAACCGCAATTAGTTTTTACTGTAGTAGGCAGGTGTCCGGTAATGGAATTTGGGTTTTCTAATACTCAATTGTCTTCTCTAGACAGCTACAGAGCTAAAATGAAAAAGGTCTGCGACGCTGTAGAATGCAAGAAAACGTTGAGAGCATAAGCCAATGCCAATACTCCAGGGCTAGGTATATGAGTGGTAATTTGAAAATGCATCGAATATTTTATTATTGGAGTTAAATTGATTACCTAGCTTAATTTGGCATGAGCTTGTATTTGACAAGCAATTAATTAAAGGAATGATTGTGGGTTAGTATGAAATGACGATGCTCGCGTTTTCCTTCAGAGTAGGTGTATTAAATTAAACGAAAACGCGTTCTAATGTTTTCCAGCGCGATATTGAAAGTGTTGGTGCGTAACATCAAAGCTGACAAAAAAGATTTGGGCTGTCCCGTTCGAAATCCTAAATTGGCTAAAAGGTGTGGAATTTAAACGTGCAAAGATCTCGTCTGTGAAATCTTTGAATAGTGATTGTAACAGAAAAAATCGTAATGCTGGTGATAAGCTGAAAAAGGTTTATTGGAAAATCATACACCCTGAGGGATTGAAAAAGCTCACATTCAATTTCAATATCACACAACTTCTTATAAATCTACCAGCAAACTGATTAGTCTGCTTCGGTGTATGATTTTATTTGATCGTAAAAATTTGACAAATTCACAAGGTGGTTTTCATTTCATTATTCATTTTACATTTGCTTCACTTGCTTTTCTTTGATTGATATTCAATATCAATTTCTGTGTTGACATTTTGGAATGCCCCTGTCATGCGTTTGTTGTAAGCGAATCGTTTGAGTTCCCATTACATTATTATTCGAAATTACCGCTGAATCGCCATTAACTACCTGGATAATTGTAATTAAGTATTTTCTATACTATCCTTATCGGTTAGGAGATCTAAACTTATCAGTCTCCTTTCGATTAACCCTCGAGAGTCAAGTGCCATTAATCATCCACCTGCTTTCCCTAGGGAAAGGTATCGTACCTCGTACGTACACATAGCGCTAAGCCGCTAACCATACAACTTGTTAACAAAGTACATAAGCAAATGTTGTGAAGAGGGCACTCCCCATAATTATTGAAATTCTTTTCTGACACACAGCCATCCACTCTTGTACAAGGGGGGGGGGCTGCTTTTTTTACCTTTTCCAGTTACTCGCTCAACATTTTTGACAAAGTATTCGCCTTGTTGATCCACCCCTCTCAGTAGCCAAACTAGATGAAAAGCACATAAATCCAGCGTAGGTAGATGTGGATAATGCATCCCTCGGAACCCGTTTACGCGGATAAAACCTGTTATCGTGCAGCTTTAACTTGGTGTTTATTTCATATAAAACAGATTTAAGTTTGTGAATTAACCTTATTCTGCATGCGAGTCATTGGTCACCTCACCATTACTCAAGCGTTCACCTTCTAGATGCCACTTTGGTTCTAAAATTGGAATGCCGAGATCTATTTGTGTTTTTCTTTTTTCTTCAAGAGAGAGAGAGAGCATTTATTTCAACCACGAATGTGGTGTAACTGTCACACAATAGCAACATAAATAAAAAACACAATAAAGTACAATAAATAATATAAATATATCTATAAAAAAGAAATGTAAATAGGTGTATATATTAAAATTTGTTTCTTTTTTTTTTAAATATGACTAGTATTTTTTGATATTCGTAAAGAAATCATCCAGTGTATATAGCACCATTGACTGAAGAATTTTTCTAATTTGATTTTTAAACATTGTAATACATTTGACACGTTCCGGAAGGACATTATAAAATCTCACCCCCATCTGTAGGTAGGATGAGTTATGCACCTTACTTTTTGATCTCATTATAGAAAAGTTATTTTTCGTTCTCGTATTATATGAGTGGTTATCACAATTTAATGAAAATAATTTTTTGTTTTTGAACACGAAACATAAACATTCAAGCACATATAATGAATAGACGGTTGCAATCTGAAAGTTTTTAAAATACGGTTTGCAGGATTCCCGTTTCTGTAGCGAAAACATTACCCTGATTGCTCTTTTTTGAACCTTAAATATGCTAGAAATTCTATGACTAGTAGCGTTTCCCCATAATGAGATATCGTATCGCACCTTACTTTCAAATATTGAATAGTAGATTTGCAAAAGGGTTTTATGGTCACATAAATTTTTACAACGGGACAATGCGAAATGAATGTAATTTTGCTCTCAGATGGTCAATGTGATCTTTCCAACTAAGTTCTGTGTCTATAATATCTCCTAAGAAGGTACAGGATTGACACCTTTCTAATTGAACTGACTGGTAACGCAGTGGAGCGATATCCAAACCCATGTTTTTCTTATAAAGAAGAATTTTTGTTTTTTCCAAATTAAGTAAAAGTTTATTTGCATTAAACCAATTAATAAGAGTTGATAACGCACGTTTTAAATTAATTTCTAACTCTTCTTCAACACAAGCCACACTCACACTAGTGTCGTCTGCATATGTGGTGATATCACATGAAGATGGATCGAAGCAGTTAAATAGGTCATTAATAAAGATTATAAATAATATAGGACCAAGGATAGATCCTTGGGGTACACCATACTTGATTGGTTTTAATTCGGATGCAACTTCAATAATTTGTCCCGAGGAAGAAATTTGCTCAACTGCAACATATTGCGACCTATCACTAATAAAGGATCTCACTAAATTTAGCGTCACGCCTCTAATGCCATATGAGTATAGCTTGTCCAGTAACAAGCCATGATCAACCAGATCGAAAGCCTTCGACAAATCACAACTTATCGATGCTACAACCTTGCCATTATTATGCGCAGTGTGTATGTAGTGTAACATACTTTGTAAAGCTGTGGTAGTTGATTTATTTACTCTATAGCCATGTTGTGAACTATTAAACATTTTCAAGGTCACCTGTGATCAATCGCCTCGTTTTTTATGCAGTGTTTAATTACATTCTCAAAGTCAGCCAAGATCAATGGCATCATTTTTGTGTGGCGTATAATTTCATTTTCAAGGTCATCCAAGGTCAATGATGTTTGTGATATCAAATTACATGTTCGAGGTCATCCAAGATCAGTAACCTCATTTTTATGTGGTGTCTGATTACACTCTCAAGGGAATACAAGGTCAAGGACCCCATTTTGTGGTATCAAATTACACGTTGGTAGTAATCCAAGGTCGAGGACCTCATTTTGTTGTGACGTCTAATTAAACTCAAGGTTAGTCAGTCAATGAAACAATTTTTGTAATGTCATCTATTTTTATTTTCAAGGTTATCAGCGGTCAATAACCTCATTTTTTGCTGTATCAAATTTCACTTTTAAAGTCATCCAAGCTCAATAACTCCTCCAGCAGTTCAGGAGGGGTTCAATCACGACATAACGTACAGAAGAATTTAATGTATAGAGATTATAAATTTAATGAATACGATTGCGCTTATTTGATACGATGTGATTTTTTTCAATCCATCAACAATATCTAATACGTTTATCAACTTCAATACAAAATGGGGTCAATGACCACGAATGACCTTGAAAATTAATGGGGGCAATGACCTCGGAGGACCTTGAAAATTATTGGGGTCAAATATCTAGGATAACATTGAAAATGTGGTCACAGCCCCTACCCACGTGGCACGCGATTTTCACCTTGGCCTAATTTACAAGATCACCGCCCACGTGTCACTAAACTTTCACCTTGATCTAATTTTCAAGGTCGCCGCCACGTCACCCTGACCTACTTCCCAAGATCACCACCAGGTGGCAAGTGACCCAGGATTGCCCCTCTACTGCTGCTGACGGAATAATAACATCAACAGAGGTAAACGCAACGCAAAAGAAAATGATGTTGGCGTAGGCGAAACTCATCTCGCTGATCACCTGCAATTCACCGTACCCATACCACGTGTACTGTACCGACCGACAGATCCAGCGGAGGAACAGCCCTTAGGACATATCGAAGGGTGGTACACGGACCATAGCACTTCCGATGACCAACATCGAAGCAACTCGGCTGCAAAATCACAAACATAATTGGCGTGTACCGTAGACAGAAAAAACCGTTCAAAACGTGGGAATTAGGTGACCTTTTACGTCTATGCAAGTGCACAATCATCGCGGGTGACCTAAATACCAAACACAAACACCGCCGGAACCAGACAGGCAATATATGCACCTATACGAGATAAACGTCACACAAGATCTAACGGCTTTTATGACCCTTCATACCGGACCCTCAGTTGTGACGAGCCAGCAAATGAAGAGGACGACGAACTGGAAAAAATATAACGAGTGCACAAAATCGCTAAAGCTCTAACAAACAGAAAGCTCCCGGCCTGTACCCCAAGAGCTCCGGATGGTCAAAATTACTCTGACCAAGAAAAAGCGGACCTCATTTCCCACAACGGACCTGGAAGCGGGCAGTAGTGATCATGCTGTCTAAGCAAGGACAAGTGTTGTCAGAGCCTTACAACTACCCTCCCATCTCCCTGCTGCATATCCTAGGCAAAATATTTGAGTTCTCACGCCCGCCTG